AAAAAAAAAAAAAAAAGAAATCGTCAGGATGCTATTTGTTTCTTTTTGGGGACTTGGTAATCCTTGTTATATTTAAGGATCTCTTGGGAAAGAATGAGCAAGGATTTCCTGATTGGCTCCACGTAAGTGTTATCTAAAGACAAGACTCCCTCAATGCCAAGTAGTGATTTATCTTTTTTCTTTCTCCTGCCTTTCAGACCTTTTTTTAGAGGCTGAATGCCTTGTTTGACTTCACAAGATAGTAGGATATAGAAATATATGTCATTGCCTTAGTTGCTAACTCAGGAGGTAATAAATTTTCTTTGTACAATGTTTTATGTTTTTGAAAAGAAAAAGACTGCACTGATTTGCTCACGGGGATGCTCTTTGCTATGTGTTCCCTTAGTCTCTGATATTATATTAGCTTGTGACTTTTTGCAGCATGCATTTGTGCCACATGCGTGTTGCATCCCTTCTTCCGCTGCCTGCTTTTTGGCTGCTTTTTGTTTTCAGAAAGAACCTGAATTTTTCAGTCTCTTGGTTGTGAATGTAATTCTGTTCACTGCCTGAAAGTGAGGTAAATGTTTGGGAGCGGTAGGCACCTTTTTAGACTTACTGGGAAGCAAATGCATGAATGACTGGTATCATGAACAACTGGAATTTCTTTGAAATTTGGTCTTCCTAGGAGTAGTGCGGAGTAATTGGTTATCTTTATTTACATTCTGAACTCCAGCACTAACCACTTTGTTAGTTCTTGGTTATTTTCTGTCTTTCATTGACGCATTACAGAATTGCTTATTATTGACGTGTTAATGATGATGTCCAAAATGAAACCAGGACTTCCTTATGCAGACTGTTTGATCTTGTTCAGCCTCTCTTGGAGAAAAAAAGCTTGTAGGACAGGCAACAAATTCTGAATTACTTATTTCAGCTACCTTATATGTTACAGTGACAGCAATGAATAGATTCAGGAGGTTTAGTTTCAACAGTGATCAAAGTTGCTTTAGTATGGAAGTAGTTTTCTTTTCTCTCTCATTTTTTAATTAAGAAAAAGGAAAAAACCCCACCTTGTGATGCTGGTGCACGTTTCATTTATAATACTGTGGCTGCATACTTGCCATAACATGCACTTGGCTTCTATTCAGTGTTGTTGCTCTGAAAGCAGTTTTTATTTTGAGGCTGTGTTAAAATATATTCAGTCTTACATTTCAAAATGTACATACTCATTTAAACTATATATTTGTCTTTGCAAGCACTGTTAAATTGCAAATGAAAGAGCCACCTGTAACAATTCCCGTTAACATGTGTCTAAAGGAAGTAACCTCAAATAAAAGAGATGCTTAACCTGGGGAAGGCGTGTGTATGTCTTCACTCTCACTTGACAGAGCAGCGAGCAGGTACACCCCGCACACTGATGGCCGCTGGCTATACTTTGGTTATGATCCGCATGTTGGGGAGGGCTTCATTCCTCAAAACCAGGAAATGCAGAGTGCTCTCGCCTTTTAAAGCAATACCAGTCAAGTTTGGATTACTGAAAACTTCAGAAGGGACTTTTTTTAATTTCAAAATGCAGCATATTCAACCAAGATATCTCCTTTGGGTATCAGATACGCATGTGTTGTCACTGGCTTTAGAATAAATTCATAAAACAAAAAGGGAGCCATCTAAAACATACAGTGGTTTATTCCTCACGGTAACTGAATTCTTATTTGCTTGACCCCATTTATTTATTTATTAGTTCAAAGGAAGATGAGTTGGCTAAAGGCCTGCAGACTCTGTGAGAAAACATAAATTTCACTATGTTTCGCAGTGTTTGCATAACTTAAAATGTTACTAAAGCAATTAACTAATTTATCCCCCCCAAAGATTTTAAACTTGTGTATTTGATTGTTCTGATACAGCCAGTTTATTTCATTGGCTGTAAGATTTGTTATACTTTCTTGCATATTTTTAACTATTATAACAGGGAAGATGCTGGCCTGTACATGCTTTAAATACTTGCATGTTTATGGATGGTAATGGCATTCATTTGAGAACATATATATATATGGCTAAAGAGAGAGATTTTCTCGCCATTACTGTTTAGCTTGGTATTCTTTCGATAATCTTATTGTTACACAGAGGTGTCTCTGGTAAATAGAGGAGAGTTTAATCAATTTATAATGGACAGTATTTATTTCCTTTTTAAATATATAAAGAAAAAACATATACACATACTCGTACACGTACATGCTTTTTAACTTCTAGGAAGAAAAAAAAAACTGGAGGAGAAATTGGTTTGGATAGCAATGATGATAGCAACTTAAATATTGCAAAATGCTGCACCCTAAAATAATGATACCATTACTGGCTCTTTTAGCTTTATGCTGAAAAGTACTTTGTTTAGTCATTTATTTTTTTTCCTAGGAAAGTGAGGGGAAAAGTACAATTGTTGCATTTCTGGACAGGATACGCATTGAACCACTTGACAAGCAGGGTCTGATCGGTGTTTGGCATACCTGTGCCCATGCAGACCTGCGTGTGGATTGTCACTTTAAGTTTTTCTTACAGGTCTTTTAAAAGATCTTTCTAAAACATTCCCAGAACTTGCTGCAAAAAGATAAATCTCTGATATGAATCTATTGGAGGAAAAGTCTTCCAATTCTAGAGCTCTGCTACTTGGTTCAATGTACGTAATGATTTATTTGTCAAAGTCTTTGTCATGCACAGGCAAACACGAGATGTGCATACACTGCGTTGTTCTGTGCATGGTACTCAGTTTCATCCCTTAAAAGAATTAATTTTAAATGGGGGAAATATTGCTGTTCAGGAGTCCAGTTCTGCAGCATTACTGCTGTCTGCTCCATGTGTTCCGTTTGCAAACACTTGCCTGCAGCGTATATGCTGTATGCATGCTGCATATTTCTATTTCTTTGTGTTTGAGTGTCTAAATGATGAATGGAAACTAATTTTGTTTTAACAAAAGAAAGTAAACATGCCAAATAGCAACAATCTTTCTCAACTCAAAGTGGCTGCAAATCAGCTCCTAAATATTGTCACTGAAATTAATATCTAGATTTAATAGTTCTTGCCAATCCTATAAATGTTTTTGAAAAAAGCATTGCATTAATGCATGATATAGAAAGGATAAATTTGCCTTTAAATTGGAATGCAGTTCAAAGTGACTGAATTCTCCAATTTCAGCCACTGTATTTGCCAAAGAACAAACTGGAAAATGGAACTGGTATCATTCATCTGCTCCTGGTTCACTGGGAGGTTTGGGGAGGGGAATTCCCTATGAAGATAAAAGCAGAATAGTTTATCGATAAACTGTAATGACCACTAAATTTTACAATCTGAAGTAGCATAAGTTTACTTTTAAATTAATTTAGCACAAAAAGCTGTAAGAAACTGTAACAGTTCAAAAATTCTTTATCATCAGTCATTGATACCCCCCGGTAATCACAGTTTATAGGAAGATTTGCTAAGTTTTGCTGTTAGTTATATATATATATCATGGCTGAACATACTTTGTTCTGTTACTTTTAAATGGCTTAAACCAGATAAAATAGTTCAACTGTCTCTAAACCTTTTAGACTTGAGAGATTAATGTAATACTTTGGATTTAAAAAAAAAAAAATCCCAAACAATGAAAAGGAAAACATCATGTTCCTTCTAATTATAGGTATCACTTCTACGACACCAGTAACTAGCTGAACAAACATATTGTATAATTACGTACATATATTATGTACAATTTGTTTCCAAAATTGGATTATTTCTGTGGTTCTGGTTTATTGTATAAGAAGGTGTGGTCAGCAGTGCAGGAATACCAAAAATAGCATCTCTCTCTTAGCTTAAATCCGAATATAAAACTCGGTTATTCCTCTGTGAACTACAGCTGAATTAAAAAAACAAAAAACAAAACAAAAACAAAAACAAAAAACAACAAAAACAAAAAAAACCCACAACACAAAAAACGGCCAACCTATGTTTGTCCGTACTGCTTCCTCTGAAATGTTTTAGCCTATGTTTTCGGCTCATTTGTCCATTAAAATTCTTCAGTGGAAATGATTATGTTGTTCTCCAGAAATATTCAGGGTTTTGATTTAACCATTTAGCTGTCCTTTCATGTTTCTAAAACAGATTGATCTGTGACACCTCTGGAGAAGTCACAGTTGCATTGTTTAAAATACCCTGCTTCATACGGATGTTTCAGAGGTCTGTCCCAAGCTCTCTCTGTATGCGTAAGGGACTTGGCTAATAAAGTCTGAGAGAAACCAGTCTCAGTGACCGAAGCAGTCAAATTACAGAAATGTCATGTCGTCTTGTATCAGCACCTCACCAATACAGATATTTCATCCCTGTTTTGAACCTTCAAAATAAACAGCTATGTCATAGTGACTGATACCAGTTCCATTTTGCCTACCAACTCAGTTGATTTTATATTTTATTTCTCATTTATGATGGAATAATCAGCAGCTCTTTTTCTCATTTATTTTCTCATATTTTTATTCCAGGATTTGCCTCTGAAGCAGGGAGTGTCTGCATTAAAAATGACCTGTAGTTCTCTGCTTCATAGGTTAGAAACTTATTTTAATATTTTGTGGCTAAGCACAGTCCCGACTTTTTCAAAAATAAAAATTTCCAACAATAAATGGTTTAATTGGCATTGAATGTGGATTATAAGCCTTTTGCATTGGGGCTTCCATTATTTTAGATGAAATGGCTTCTACACAAATGATCAGTCCAGCTGAGGCAATGAAAACTCTGTTTACTTGCAGCCATTTTTATGACTTAATGTTAAGATTTAAAAGAGTCGATTACAGTGGATCATACTAAGTCTAATTTGGACATTTCCAAAGTACTGTATCGGTTAGGCTGTATTGCTTTAAGCAGTTACATTCTAAAACTTGCCAAATTCCAAATATTTGTCGGGGAAAAGAAATCTGTTCCTAAATCAGTTGATTTCAATGGGACTGCTATAGCCAGCACACACAGAACCATGTATCTTGTATTTACTTCTAAATTATACACCACAGATGCTTCTTCAGCTCCTTCCTCTTCCTCCATGGGCGGTGCTTGCAGCTCCTTTACCACCTCTTCCAGCCCTACCATTTACTCTACCTCAGTCACCGACAGCAAGGCTATGCAAGTGGAGAGCTGCTCCTCAGCCGTGGGGGTAAGTACCCGAGGGGTAAGTGAAAAGCAGTTAACCAGTAACGCAGCCCAGCAGCAGCAGTCGACGCCGAAGAGACACACAGTCCTGTACATCTCGCCACCACCTGAGGACTTGCTGGACAACAGTCGGATGTCCTGCCAGGATGAGGGGTGTGGATTGGAGTCAGAACAGAGCTGCAGTATGTGGATGGAGGATTCACCCTCCAACTTCAGTAACATGAGCACCAGTTCCTACAATGATAACACTGAGGTGCCACGTAAATCGCGCAAACGAAATCCAAAGCAGAGGCCAGGGATCAAACGTCGAGATTGTGAAGAGTCCAACATGGATATATTTGATGCCGACAGTGCCAAAGCGCCTCACTATGTCCTTTCTCAGCTCAGCACGGACAGCAAAGGCAACTCAAAAGCAGGAAATGGGTTGGTATCTGCTTTTTTTTTTTTTTTTTTAAAAAAAGTTCTATCACCATATGTAAAACCAAACTAATAAAACTCCCCCCGTGCCCCGTCAAGTGTCCTGCTCAGGTTCTCACATAAATCCCTTCCCTTCTCTCCCATTCCCTTTTGCGTCCTAGCCCATGAGAAGTTCTCGTTAGACTTCTTAATCTTTATTTGGAAGATAAAGCTAAACTGTCCTGCAACAATTGGACGCAGCACTGATGAGCTCATCTGTATTCTTGTTTCAGTGAAATTCCTCAAAGATTGCACAATTCCATTTGTAAAATGGCAATGAAAACATATTTAAAAAGGAGGGCAGAAGTGGGCTGGACACACTGTAAATCTTAATGTTTTTTGCAGGATTTTATGTGAGGATTTCAGTCTGTACACTTCACCTGCTTCTGTTTGTCTCTTTATTTATCAAATAGAGTGATGGGAGTAGAAGTTAATGGCTTGTTAGGATGTCTCATCACTTAAATTAACATGTGCTTTACTTTTTTATGAAATGTTAAGATGATATGGTGAACCAGAGTTTGTTTTTTCTTGTGAATTCACTTCTGTATTTGATTTTTTCAGAAATAAATCTCTAATCCTGTTTCTCTCTGTGCTTCTGGGTTGTGTGCATGCGTGTGTCTGTGCGTGGGCACGCCTGGGTGGTGGTCTCTCATCTCTCCCACTTCACACTGTTCACTAAATGCATTTCAGTAGTTGCTTAAAGAGGAAAAAGTCCATCAGTTTACAGTAGTGTGTTGATACTTTATTTTATTTTTTAACTTGTGGCTTCTTTAGTACTTCTGAGATGATCAAGTGGATAGATTTGGCTTTTTTATTTTGGCTCTTTTTGGGGGTGGGGGGAAGTGTATTTTGTTTGTTTTTACTTTTATGTATGTGCTTGCAGTACGTTCTAATGTTCATCACAGTAATGGTGAATATTAAGATTCGACTGATGGGAAAGATGATGAACTTCTCATGTTCCAAAGGGCAAGAGCCTGGAG